ATGATAAAACATTTGAACTTATATTATTAAAATACAATAATATACATATGGTAATACAAGTTTATCAAAATACTCAGAGCATACACAACTTGACCCTTTGATTACATGCCAATATTCATTTACATAACAAAAGGACCTACTGATTAAGTTACCTCTGATCTGATAGTTGCAGGAGTAGTGTTGTCCAGCTGCTTAACCTGTCTCGTCTACTTTCCCAGATCCTACATGTGAAACACTCACACGCTAAGTCATTGAATTAGTGAGGCAATATAATAATAATAACAACAAATAAATGTAATGAAAATGCCATAATAAAATGGAATAAGATCAAATACTTAACCATGCAGTTTATATCACTATGTTCCTTACCTATAAGCATAGTACATTAACATTCATGAATTCATATTAATAAGATTATTGGCCCATGATACCATACTGGAACCTAAGGTATGTGAGTACTGTGAGGTTGTGCACTATGTTGTCACCACAACTCGTATAAATGCACCGAAGTGTCACATAGAATTGCACCGAAGTACCGCGTAGAATTGTACCGTAGTGCCACATAAGATTGTCCCTAAGGACCACGTAGAAAATTCCTTAAGAATCATATACATATGCCAAGGATCAAGTATGTGTCTCAAAAGATCTCACACATGTTCCAAAGAATACATATATGTCCCGAAAGACAGCGTAGACACTCTACTTTTGGCATGCCAACTATACCCATAGTTCTCATCTACATAACATGGGCTTTTCCCAAATTACATAGTATATCACATAGACATATTATTTCTTTACCTTCATCACATGGCTCATTTAACTTTGCATACATATTCATTTAAAACATGTTACACAATGCACATAGTATGAATTCATATCATCTTCATAATATGAAATGAATCATGCATCAATATATTGAATATAGACTTCTCACACTAGAACTGAATATATCGCTATAATCATGTTATGCATATGCACTCACCTATATTTCTTTATTTTTTCCTCGATCGATCTTATTAGTTAATCTCTCTGGAACTTGTGTAGGCTCTGTATCTACATAGTAATTCATTGATACTTATCAGTATACTAATTAATATATTCTAAACTATCATTCCTTAGGCTAAAAGAAAAGCCATTTTCATCTTTTAATGAAGGTATGCATCGATGCACTACACCATGTATCGATGCATCACTTGACGGGTGCATCGATGCACTATCTATGCATCGATGTACTATCTATGCATCGATGCACTATCTATGCATCGATACATAAATCCCATTCGATGTTTGTATTTAAGGGGGTGCATCGATGCACTACTTGTGCATCGATGCACTGATGGCATTCGATGTTTTTATTTTAAAGGAGTGTATCAATGCACTTCATGTGCATCAATGCACTTCATGTGCATCAATACACCTTGAACAATTTCTGGGATTTATCTTTGATGCATCGATACACATTGAATGTGCATCGATGCACATTGCCCAGAAATTTCATTTTTAGCATGAAATCCCTTCATAATCCCCTCAACACTACATAATTCACCTCCTTTTATATCCCTGACTTGCATACTCTTACTTAAACTAATTAATATCCATTTCATACCTCTAAAACTTAGAAATCCAATTCTCCATATAGAATTTAAGAATCTCACTCAAATTCTAACATGTTCTTAATATAATTCTAACACTTCCTATTCCTTAATTAGTTTGGTGACAAGTCAAATCCCACTTTCAATTCTTATTATGAACCTTATTCCAAGATTTCACTTTTCTACTTTCTTTCGTTAATCCTTCCTAACTCTATCATCTTTTGATTTTAAGATAACCTAAGATTTCCTTAAGCTTAGTTATCATCTAATGATCAATAAGTAACCTTAAATTCAACAAGAATTTGATCAACAAGAAAACTCACCTTTAGCTTGGCTTCACGGTGGAGAAGAAGAATGAAGAAGAATGAAGAAGAAGAGAAATCTGGAACTTTGGTTTTCCCTAATTGTATTCCACGTGGGTATTAAAATATCCCTTCAAAAGTAATATTTAATTGCTTCCCTTATTAAAAAACTTATTTACCCCTTTAGTTCCTCCTTCTTTGCTAATTGCTACTACACCAAACATTTCAATCAATTCTTTAAACTTTTTAATTTATCCAATTTGGTCACTGAATTTTTAAATCTCACAATTTGATCACTAACCCGGTATGGAGGATGTTACATGCACAGCTTCTTCCTCTCCAAGATCATCTTCAAGGCTAGGTTCAGCAGGTGATTCAGGCGGTATAGCCATACTCGACGATTCTCCTGCCCCTTCTTTCATATTCGTATCTTCGATATTGTGAGGAGTTGACTCAGTACTGTCTTGAGTTGCTGACTATACCAAGTGTCGAGCAGGTTCATATTGCATGTTAGTCACAATCTCTAAAGGTTGCGACCATCGAGTTTCACCCTCCTGAGCGTTGCATGAAGAAGACCTGCCTGCAAAAGGAAAGATTGCTTCATTAAAAACAACGTACCTAGAAATATAAACCCTTCCATCAGTTGCCAGACATTGAAACCCTCTATGCTGGGAGATGACACCAAGATACATGCATGGTTGGGAGTGATAAGCAAGTTTATGAGTTTGGAAAGGTCGCAGATGAGGAAAACATTGACAACCAAACACCTTCAGGTCACCATAGTTTGGTTTCTTCCCGAGCAGCTTCTCACTAGGGGAAATCCCCTATAAAACCTTAGTATGTAGTATGTTAATTAGTTGAACAGCAGAGGTAATAGCATAAGACCAATATTGCATTGGTAACGATGCTTGTGCCAGCAATACCAGAGCCATTTCAACCAAATGTTATGAACAATCCAGTTTTGGCTAATATTGACGAGAGGCTCTGAAATTCACCTCCTCAATCGCTTTGTACTACTGTAATGAAGGTATTGAATTAAGTTGTCACCATCTTTTGAAACAGCAAGAAGGCTTTAACGGCTTGTGACTTATATCTTAGTAGATAAACCCAAGTATGTCGAGTGCATGCCTCGACAAAAGAAGCATAAAACTTAAAGCCATTTGATGATATATGGGGAGGTCCCCATAAGTCCGTAAAAACAAGTTGAAATGTGGAATCATAAGACGTATTTGATATCTCAAAGGGTAGTTTGTGGCTTTTGCCCATATGGCAAGCACTACAAGTTTTATTTACATCAGAGGTAATTTTTACATCAAGTGCTTTGGTAATTTCTCTTAATGTTTCACTAGAGGGGTGACCAAGCCTTCGATGCCACAGCTCTTCAATCTCAACAACACTAGCTTCAGCAGCAATGCACCCATCAGTTCTCGCAGTCTTATTTGTTACAAAAGAGTACATACCTCCAGATTCTTCACCAGTTAACAGCACCTGCTTAGCCACCTTATCTCGTACACAACAGCTGCTGGCATGAAACTCAAAGAAGATGTTGTTGTTCCTAGCAAGCTTCGAGACCGAAAGCAAGTTTTTTGTTATATGAGGGACATGTAATAGATCATGCAACATTAAAGCTTTTGATGCAGTAGGTAAGCTTGTATTACCAATAAGTTGAATATCTAGGGAGTTGCCATTACCAACTGTGAGTTTACCTGAGCCATGGAAGTCAGTGGAATTTTCAAAGTTTGTTCTATCAGGGGTGACATGGTGAGTGGCACCCAAGTCCACCACCCAACGCTCAAAAGTTGCATTGGCAACGTTTGCTTAGGAGTATGTTTTTATTCGAGAACAACACTCACAACTCTGGCAAGAGTTGGCAGAGTTGGAAGCAACCGAGGAGTAACTGCTTGAGGTATTATCCTTAGAGGAATGATAGCTACTGGTTGAGACACAGGTAAAGTCCTCATAAAACCTGTGCCAACAACGATCAATCAAGTGTCCTAGCTTCCCACAGAGCTGACAATGAACACGTGTGCGGCCACGCCCTCGCCCACCATTTCTTGTACTAGACGATCCACGCCCCGATCTGTTCTCTTGACGAGTAGATGGCCCACGATCAACCTCACCCCGTGCATAGTTTGCACTCATGGTCAATTTGTCTTGCTGTTCGTCAAAACCAGCAAGTTAAACTTCAGCATCCAATAACATTGCATGAAGGTTGTCTACGGATAGTGCATATTTCATTGTTGAGACGACAGTTATAAATGGTTGATACTCCCTGGGAAGACCTCGAAGAATGGTTACTATTTGTTCAACTGGAGGAACATCACTCCCACAGGAAGCAAGAGCATCGCAAACCTCTTTAATGCGTGTTAGATACACTCGCATGTTGTCATTCCCTTTTCTTATAGATTGAAGCTTATAGTGTAAGCTCATGACTGACACGGTTGAACGGTTTGCAAAGAACTTGAGGACAGTTTCCCAAACTGCATCAGCAGTTTCAGCGCCCACGAACTGTGGTAGGAGGTGCGTACTCACCGTAGACAGTAGCCAAGATGCTAGAGCGCTGTCTTGAGCGATGAAATCTTCATATGCTTCATTCGCTTGAGCCTCACCGTTTGCATCAAGGGTTGTCATAGGCGGAGGGGAAATACCTCCAGTTAACAGCCGCTTCAATCGATGGCTCCTGACTGTGAGCAAGATCTGCTGCCTCCATAACAAGAAGTTGGTTTCATCAAGAACCACGTCGACCTTCTTGTTAGTGAATCCTCGAAGAGAATTGGAATTGAACTCCATGACCAGACATCACTTCAACAAGATAAAGATCACAGGCGGAAGCAAGAAGACACGATCCCAAGATTAATGGTGATTGATACCATCATAGAAGTATGGTAAACAATTAAATATAGACTGATTTTATTGAAAGTGAATGAATCTCAAGTACAAGATCAATGCTCTTTATATACTGTTGTACTTAGCAGCTACTAAAACCACCTTAACTAAACAACTAATCAAAAACTAACTTGTTAACAACCTTAACTATCATAACCGCTTCAGTTTCAGTAAGCTTCGAACTGCACTGCTAATGTACATCGAGCAGTAGCTGATCTAACATGCTAACACTCAACCATTGCCACTCGGAGCAGTGGCATTACTAGGACTCGGCGCTTCCGTCCTAACCAAAACCCTAACCTTCTCTGCTGCCTTCTCCGCTTTTGGCGATCCCATTCCTTGGCTCATTGCTCTCGCCTTCTTCTTCGCTCGTGGTTTCATCAAGACTGGACTTGGTAACAGAATAGCTTACCAATTCGTTTCCCTATTCGGATCTTCCTCTTTAGGTTTAGGCTACAGCTTAGTCTTCAGCGAAGCTTTATTAGCGCCAACAATTCCGTCCGTATCCGCACGCGCAGGTGGAATTTTCCTCCCTTTAGTCAAATCTCTCTGCGTAGCGTTTGGAAGCAACGTGGGCGACGGAACGGAAAATAGATTAGGATCCTGGTTAATGCTGACATGTTTCCAGACTTCTGTTATTTCTTCTTCCATGTTTTTAACAGCAATGGCGGCGAATCCATTAAGTGCTAATTTAGCTTTCAATACCATTAAACAGCAGATTGGATGGACGGATTGGGCTAAGGCGGCAATCGTGCCGGGTTTAGTTTCGTTGCTTGTTGTGCCATTGATTTTGTATGTTATTTATCCACCAACGGTGAAGACTAGTCCCGACGCCCCAAGACTTGCCAAGGAGAAGCTGGAGAAAATGGGACCGATGACCAAGAATGAGATTATTATGGCTGACTCTGTTTCTAAAAATTAGCTGACCCTATTTTCATATATAATGGGATAAAGGGAGATAGGGTAGTAAGCTGTCCCTAACGCCAGGTTGAGAACAGCTTTCGTAGAAGACCTATCTTATGAATTGCTCTCAGTGTGACTCTGTTTCTAACGGTATAATATTATTACTCTATTAACTTTTTTTTACCCTTTGATTAATTATGAATATGGTTATTATGTTTTGTTATGTCTAATGCTTATATAACTTGGGTAGTATGTTTTGTCCACAATCAATCAAGTTGAAATGTCGCACTAGAAAAATAATTGTAGGGGACCATACTGGCGCGTGATCACGGCTGTAGCCACATTTTAGTTGGAGAGACGCTAATTTTGTGCCATCATTTAAAGTAGTTAATCTACTTTAATTATCGATGTAGATGTTGAGTTTTAGGCATTGATAGTGGTACTTGTTTTGTTGAATTATACAGATAGTTTTAGAGCTTGACCTAATGGAACTGGTACATGTCTTAGTTGCTTTCTACTTTGTATTTCCTTGCAGAGTTACACTTAGAAAGTATTTGGCTAGATTACTTTTTGTGCAGAAGGAAAGAGATACTATATAAATTTGGATTTGGGGGGGAAATGTACAGTTTGCATTAGTTTTTTGGGTTTTGATAATCTGAATATGTAATAGAGACTCTGCACCTAGAGGTTTGAAAGTAGACCGGAGAAAAGGGTCTTACTCTTTATGTAGAAGTTATTATTGTGGTTTATAGGTGTACATTTTTCTAGCACGTCTTAATGCCCAATCTGAAACTGGATTTTCGATGTTCAATCTGTTCATGTGGTTATATATTTTTTTCTGTGCTTTTAGTATTAGCAATTAATCAAGTTGTTACATCAATTTCTGTTATGTTACTCTGGTATCCACCAAAAGTTCAAGACATGGTTGTTACAGTTATAAAAATACTTCTTACAATCTTAATGGACTGACAAGGTATAAAAATTAACTGGAGTTGGAATGTAGCCTATGTTTGATCTGGAGACTTTTTCTTGGTTACTATCTTATTTTTTTGTATTAAATTTCTTTTAACAATGCTGATCCAGAGATTATAAAAATGTGGAGAGTTTTTGGTGTTTCACTTGGAAGCTTATTTTGGAATTTTGGTTTTGCTTTAATCTCCTGGAGGTGTTGATTACTTATTATGCTCCACTGGGCTCAAGGTTCCTTCGTAATCACTTTTTGATGATTGATTTGGTGGAAGATGCACATGGATGCCTTGCCACTCAATGTGATTTTGGAAGTGAACTTTTGAAATTAATCTGTTTTTTGAGTAAGAGGTTTGATAGATACCTTAGTCTAATAATCAGATTAGGTTGTGGATGTGCATGAAAAGTACAGTCTCTCTCACAATCTTGCTTCTAAGATACTTCATAACAAGTAATTTGGACAAATATAGAATTGTCGTGCCATTTTTACTTTGTTAATGAATATCAAATAAAATAAGCCTGATAGCAGTTGCTTAACAATGGTCTCATAATCTTCTGAAAATCTAGACTGTTATCATGCTTTTCTATGATCTTACCCAGCACACGTTGGTTAATTTATATGGAATACTTCTGAAGATTGTTAGCTATATGTAGGATTTTGAGGAAATCCTGCAATCTGTCAGGTTTTCCATTTGTCATTTTAATTGTCCGGCATATAGGCCTCAAAGGTTTTCATATAAAATGTAATATTTTAAGTGTTATGTAGCTGGATTCAAACCTCGTGATATCAAGGCTGTGATTGCATTGCAGAAAGCAGTGCTGCAATTTCATTAGCTGGAAACGAATTGTGCCTGTGATAGAATCTGTAGGTACCTCGTTATTTATTTGAATCCTTGATCTTGGTATAGCAGTACAGGAACTACTGAAATCTACTGGGCTTTTCTGTATTTCATTCAACTTTATATTCTTCAGCAATATCTTGATTGCTCTCAACTGATTAATAGAATTTTAATGCTATTTATGGTTGTATTACTGTGTGCTCTCATTTGATGAAACTCTTTACTGAGCTTGTATTGTCCAATGAGTTTTCTCATACCTTCCTCTGCTGCATTAGGTGGGATTCTGGATTTTTGGAGGGATGTTAAATGTGGATGCTGTTACTGCTTCCATTCCTGGGTTATCTATCCTACTTGTGACTGGAGTAGTCACACGGAAGGAGTGTCTTGCTGAGTCAGTTGCATGGGATACACTTACATGGTTTGCTGCACTCATTGCTATGGCTGGATATTTAAACAAATATGGTCTCATCGCATGGTTTAGTCAAACTGTTGTCAAGGTTTGTCCTGTTTTCCTTTTACTCTTAGCGTATTTTCTTTCTGCCATGTGCCGGTTACTATGACTTCATACAGTATCACCTAAGTACCACCACAGTAATCTACATCCAGTGCTTCACTTTTTGCTGAAATATACTTGGCAATTTATATCTTTCTCTTAAAATAATGCAAAATGTCAAAATACTTGTGCTTTACATTGTAGTATATCTATATAGTTTAGTTTGTTCTTCAGGCTCTTTCTAGTTTTGTTGGCATGTTCTATTGATATTTTGTCATACTATGATATGTCTTATTAAACAATGCCCTAGGATGTTCCTTTTGCATTTAGTTAAAGCATTATTTTGACACTGCATAATCCAATGTTTCTGTTTTGGCAATCACACTAGGGACCATTTTTTTAAACGACAAGTGGCATGGGTCTGATGAAAAATAAAACTCTGATGTTTGGCATTGCCTTTAATGTCTATGTTCTGCTCTTTTTTATAGGTTGTTGGTGGGATGGGTCTTTCATGACAAATGTCATTTGGCATTCTGGTTATTCTCTATTTCTACTCCCATTACTTCTTTGCCAGTGGAGCTGCTCATATAGGTGCAATGTTTACAGCCTTCTTGTCCGTGGCTAGTGCTTTGGGCACTCCATCGTATTTGGGAGCTCTTGTTCTATCATTCCTCTCCAACCTTATGGGTGGCATCACTCATTACGACATCGGATCTGCACCCGTTTTCTATGGGGCTGGCTATGTGTCACTAGCCAAATGGTGGGGTTATGGTTTCCTGATATCGGTTGTGAATCTTATTATCTGGCTCGGAGTTGGAGGCATCTGGTGGAAGGCTCTGGGCTTGTGGTAAGGCAAGTTGAAGTTGTCATAAAATTTGCAAATACACTGGCTAGAAGAATATCTCACCTAACTTCGCAGATCACAGTTTCTTCTTCACATCGAAAGCAGGTTTGTCTTTGATTATTTACCTTTCAGAAATAATCTTTTATGTCAGGGTTTAGAGGGGGTCGGAAAAATGAATATACATTTGAGTTCGAGGTCCATAAAATAGAGCAAAGCAATAGATCTTTACCACAAATTTTGCATTTATATGGAAGATTAATTGACTTGACAACATTGTTTTGAATGTGAATTATGAGTTTTATGATTATGTGAAGCGCTGCGACAGTTTTGAGTTCCGACTGCCTAGTTTCTCGATGATTGGCGTATAAATCGATATTCGTGGGTACTATTTATACAGAAGGATGTAAGATCAAACATGTTTATATTAAAATATTTTTCAATTTATAAATAAAGAAGAATCTAAATAATTTACAAATTGTATCAAATTATTAAAAAATTAAGTATAATTAAAAGAAATAGCAATTTATACTTGTCGTAACCGTCTTTCGGTTGGGCCCCGGAATTGGGCTTCGACTTAAAAAATGTGATTGGAGTCGCCACCGATTATTTATTTAAAAAAATAAATAGGTTAATCGGATACCTTATATCTTACCTGATCTGCGTCTTACCAAAGATATGTCGGATTCGGGAGTCGGTTACGGTCAATGAAGGATTAGCACCCTTGAACCGCCCTTTCGGTACTACGTAATTTCCAGTTGTTTTTAATTAAGAAAATCGAAAGTTAAAATTTAAAGGTAACATATGATCCAAAACTACTTACCTCCGATCAATTTGAAAGAGTACCCTTAAAAAGTCGAGAAACGCGTTAAAGGAAAAGGAAATAATAGTAAATGAAATAAAGAAAATAGAAGGAAAAAAAATAAAAAAAATGATGAAAAACTAAAAGAGGAATAAAAACATATAATTATTAAGTGCAAAATAATAATAATGATAATAACTAGTAAAATAAAAAACGCAATCACACCAAAAAAGTAAAAAAAAAAAGTCAAGGTTTGGTGAAGTATAACTGTCGGGAAGGAAAAAGACGATAAGGGGTGGGACCGTAGTTAATAAATGAGTGTGATGTATCCCTATAATATAGTAAGAATGAATAAACAAAAAAAACATTATGATATAATATATATATATATAATATATATTATAACAAAAAAAATAATTTAATAAAGTAAAATAATAATGTAATATAATATAAATACATGAAAACAAAAAAAATAAAGAAGTATAAATATAAAAATATAATTAAATGTATATATATGCATATGTTTAAAAAAAGTAAAAATAAAAATAAAATAAAATAAAAAATATACATATAATGATAATAATAGTAGCAAAAGAGAAAAATATATTTATATACGTTAATAGTAAAATAATAATAAATATAATAGTTATAAATATATATATAATAACTTTAAAAACATTAAAATAATATTAGAATAAAATATAATATATATATATATACTTAATAATACGAATTATCAAAAAGAAATAAATAAAAATATGAAAATAATACATAAGGGACCGTTCATCTGCGGCAAACCTCAAAAAAAATTGATTTTTAAAAGCCTTTCCTTCCCTCGTTTTAAATATCCTAGTATTTTTTCCAAAACGGCCTCGGGGTTGTGTAGATCTAAAAGAAAAGTTTCGAACGACAACCCCTTTTCCTCGGCCAAAACTGTTTTTTTTTTTTCAAGCACAAAGACGAATAACAACACATGCAAGTGAAGAAAAGAATGCGAAAGGTAAAAGCTTTCACCTTTTATTGCTCCTGAATTGTTTACAATAGCTTCAAAACAATCTATTTGCTCGTATTTTTTTCTGGTAATTTCGTATGCCCATCGTGTGTTACAATAGTGAGCTACAATGGCTATTTATAGTGCTTGTGGATCCTATCTTTAGGAGTTTAAAACATAGCAAAATTCTATCATATTTTTAGGAGTTGAATCCTAGCATAATTCTATCCTATTTTTTAGAGTTTGAATCCTAGTAGGACGAAAAAAGTGTGTTGACAGCTGCCCCTCTTTGCCCATAGTCGTGTAACGGGGATAGGGCAAAGATTGAAAGACACACTTTTCGTTCGGTGGAGTTGAAAATTGACTATGATGTTTCAATAACTCCCTGTCGAATTGAGTTACGGATGACTCCTCCGTCGTGAAGTCGAGTTCATCTTGAAATGATATGAAATTAAAGCCGTAGTTCGGAATTTGAATCAGCACGTGGCTTCCCGTTACCCTTCGGTCTTCTTCTCGGTTTAAAGACCTTGGATCGGAATCGAACTCAGAAATCTTCATTGACAGATAGCTTTTGCTTGACTTAAGCTATGCTGTTTGAAAATGGTTGCTTGTCACTAAGGCACGGCTAACCCAGGTCCTCTTCTCGACTTGAAAACCTCGACTGTAACCGGAAAGTAGTGCGATTGATGTGTTATCGAGTTGAATGGAGTCGAACTCGACAATAATCCTTCTTTGAGTTGGATATCCTTCGTCGTGAAGTTTAAATCCAAGTAAGTAGCATTGTTCCAAGTCTAATATCCTCCGTCGTGAAGTTGAAATTGGCTCTGGAACCGGGAAATTGTTTGTTGACAACCAGTCGTCCCTTCGTTGTGAAGTTGAACTTGTGTTGTCTCGAGTCCAATATCCTTCGTTGTGAAGTTGAAATTGAATCTGAATGAAATTTTGTTGACAAGCAGCGGTCCCTTCGTCGTGAAGTTGAACTTGCGTTGTCTGGAATCCAATATCCTTCGTTGTGAAATTGAAATTGGCTCTGAGATTGGGAAGTTGTTGTTGACAAGCAGCGGTCCCTTCGTCGTGAAGTTGAACTTGCATTGTATGGAGTCCAATATCCTTCGTTGTGAAGTTGAAATTGGCTCTGAGATTGGGAAGTTGTTGTTGACAAGCAGCGGTCCCTTCGTCATGAAGTTGAACTTGCGTTGTCTGAAGTCCAATATCCTTTGTTGTGAAGTTGAAATTGGCTCTGAAATTAAGAAGTTGTTGTTGACAAGCAGCGGTCCCTTCGTCGTGAAGTTGAACTTGCGTTGTCTGGAGTCCAATATCCTTCGTTGTGAAGTTGAAATTGGCTCTGAAATTGAGAAGTTGTTGTTGACAGGCAGCGGTCCCTTCGCCGTGAAGTTGAACTTGCGTTGTCTGGAATCCAATATTCTTCGTTGTGAAGTTGAAATTGGCTCTGAAATTGAGAAGTTGTTTGTTGACAACCAGTCGTCCCTTCGTTGTGAAGTTGAACTTGTGTTGTCTCGAGTGCCACGATATCCTCCGTCGTGGAGTTGAAATCGCAGATGGCCCCTTCGTTGTGAAGTTGAGCCTTGACTTGAATATCCTTCGTCGTGAAGTTGAAATCCAAGTATTGTATGTTGCGGGTGGACACAATTCCCTTCGCCGTGAAGTTGAAACCGTGGATACCCCTTTATTGTGAAGTTTGGCTTCGAGCTAGATACCCTTCGTCGTGAAGTTGAAATCCACTCTCGAGCAAATTGTGTCGCTTTGAGTTCAATATCATTCGCCGCGAAGTTGAAATTGACTCTAGCTAAAACCTGAAAAAGTTATGCATATATGTGATGCTATGGATGCAATGCTCTTAGGTGTGCCTAAAATGCATATGCAACATATGTTATCTTGGGGCTCTGGAGAGAAATCTCGATCTCTAGTTGCCTGTCTGGAATCTTGATTCTTGAATCTTCAAATTTTGATCCCTGATCTTGAATTCTTCAAATGTTCAAATTTGATGTGCACATTCTATTTTTGATTTGAGAAATGCTTCTCGACCATCTCAAGTATGTGCCTGAGCTGAGTGTAACGGTTCAGATGATGCTTCAAAAGAAGTTGTCTTGAAAGAGATAGAATTCGTTTCAAGGGAAACGATCTCAAAGATATCTGTTGTTTCATGAGAAACGGTCTCAAGGGAAACAAAATTATGTTTTAAGGGAAATAAATTTGAAGATTTTGTGTTTCAAGAGTAATTGTCTCAAGGGAGACAAAATTTGTTTTAGGGGAAATAAATTCAAAGATTTTGTTTCAAGGGAAACTGTCTCAAGATAGACGAAATTGTTTCAAGAGAAACTGTCTCAAGAGAGACAAAACTTAGTTCCAAAAGAAACTGTCTCAAGGGAGACGAAATTTGTTTCAAAGAAAACATATTCAAATATTTTGTTTCAAGGGAAACTGTCTCAAGAGAGACAAAATTTATTTCAAGGGAAACTGTCTCAAGATAGACGAAATTTGTTTCAAGAGAAACTGTCTCAAGAGAGACAAAATTTGTTTCAAGGGAAACTGTCTCAAGAGAGACAAAACTCTTCTAGTGAAAACGGTCTCAAGCGAGACAAATCTTGTTTTAAGAAAAACAATCATGAGTGAAATAAATCTTCTTTCGAGTAAAACAGTCCCAAGTGAGACAAAGTCTGTTTTAAAAAAGCAATCTCAAGTGAGATAATCATCTGCATTAAATGAGACTGTCTCAAGCGAGACAGAATTTATATTGGAAATGTCGAATATGAAAATGAATGTCGATCTTTCTATCTGTCGAGTTGGTTGAAGTGTAGCTTCTTGCTGCTGAGCTAAGCAACCGACATCAATCTGTAAAGGTGCTTTTGAATCGAGTATCCTTCGTCTTGAAGTCGAACTTGACTCTAAAGCTGTAAAAATTATGTACGTGGAAAGAAAATGATAGATATGACGCTCTAAAATGTATGCATAAGATGCATGTAACATTAATTGGTTATATTTTATCTCCTGAAAAAGGTCTGATAATTCGCATTAGGATGTTGAATCCCCAAAGATGCCTCAATATCCAAAAATGCCCCAATATTTGATGTTGAATCTTCAAAGATACCCCAAATGTTCCTCATTTCTTGCTTCATCATTGATTCTAAGCATGAGCTTTGTGTTTGAGAGTCACATGTCAATTACCAAGATCCACTCTAGAGAGAATGTATTGTTTGAAAAAAAAATGTTTTTCTTTCTCTTTTATTTTCAAAGTCATGAAAATATCAATTAAAAGAGTTTCAAAAAATGTTTAATCTCAAGTTTTAAAAATATTGCCCCT